TCTCTCTCTCTCTCTCTCTCTCTCTCTCTCTCTCTCTCTCTCTCTCTCTCTCTCTCTCTCTCTGTGTGTGTGTGTGTGTGTGTGTACATACACCATGTGTGCAGGCATCCTAGGAGGCTATTAGAAGACACTGGATCCCCTGGAACTGGAGTTAAAGGCAGTGGTGAGCTGTTCAACATTGGGTTCTGGGAACCAAAAATTTTGAGACAGAGACTCACTATGCAGCACTGGCTGGCCTATAGTTTTCTATACAGACTAGGCTGCCCTTGAACTCAAGAGATTTTTCTCCCTCTGCCTCTTGAATGCTGGAATTAAGGCCATGTAAGCTCAGCCAATATATTCTTAAAGACTGAAATTTTAACTATCTCAAATAGTCCTGTGTACTCTGACACCATTTAAAATATGGTTTTTGGTTTGTTGTTGTTGTTTTGTTTTTCGAGACAGGGTTTCTCTGTGTAGCCTTGGCTGTCCTGGAGCTCACTCTGTAGATCAGGCTGGCCTCAAACTCAGAAATCCTAAAATATGGTTTTTAAGGCTACTTTTTCTCTGTTTTCCTTTTTTTTTTTTTTGACTCCTCGGGGCATTTGACATGCTGTATTACTCATTCACTCCTACCCTCTTGATCAACAGGTGAATTATTAAATAAAATAGGAGTAAATTATGAAGGAAAGTGAGGAGGTGAGGAGGGAAGGAGAGAGAGGGATAGAGAGGAAGAAAGGAAATAGAGGGAAAGGGGAAACCATGAGAAAGAGGAAGGAGAGACAATGGGCAGGGTTCTGTTACGTGCCAAAACTACTGAACTTAAGTCTTTAGTAATCAAGCTTCCAGACCTGTACTGTTTATTTCAATAACCACGGGTGGTAATACACCATCTTAAGTGCAACTAATGGAACTATATACTGTAAGTTGCACAATACATACTACATTTTTTTTTTTTTTTTTTTTTTTTTGGTTTTTCGAGACAGGGTTTCTCCAAGTAGCCCTGGCTGTCCTGGAACTCACTCTGTAGACCAGGCTAGCCTCGAACTCTCAAACTCAGAAATCCGCCTGCCTCTGCCTCCCAAGTGCTGGGATTAAAGGCGTGCGCCACCACCGCCCGGCTACATACTACATTTTATAGACAATATAAACATATAAGGAATGGAAGGCTACTGCATTTAATAACTAAAAATTTTTTATTGGGGGATGGAGAGATGACTCAACTCACTGCTCTTCTAGAGGCTTTGAGTTCAATTCCCAGCAACTACATGGTGGCTCCCAACCATCTGTAATGGGATCCAGTATCTTCTGCTAGTGTGTCTTTAGACAGCTATAGTATACTCACATACATAAAATAAATAAATCTTAAAAAAATTTTTTTGATTGTATGTTGAAATACTGTTTCAAACATGTTAGAGGAAATATAGTTACAATTAGTTTTTCTTAGTCGTTAATTTTTTACGTGGCTACTACAGATTTAAAACTCTATGTGTAGCTCACATGGTACTTCTACTAGGTAGAGTGGCTCTTGATACAATCAAGTTTCCAAGAACTAGGAGATGAAATGTTGAGCAACACAATGATATAGCAGGTCATATACGTAAATCCAGGAAAGTCTGACGGTAACAACAGTTACTGAAGAAATGACGGCCTGTTTTCATTGTACACTAAATGAAATGGAGTGAATGAAATGGATGAGGCAAACAAAACCTCTGAAGCTAGACGACAGCTGTGTGAGGGACTACATATGTGTTTTGTTTGCATAAAAGTTAAGCCAAAGCCACTATCAAATTCCTATCCACTCTTCACTTTCTTACATCTTCAGGAAAAACCTCTTACCAAGTTAGCCCTCTCATGGAAATCAACACTGGACTTAGTATTTACAGTTGTCTAATGTCTTCGTTCCCTAGAACAAGTGCTGTACTATTTACATAAAACTTCAGACCAAGTCATAAAAACTGGTAGCTTCAGTCTGTAAAATAATTGTTGAGACACAAATTATAAAATTGAGGAAAGAAAAACTGCCAAAACCCCAGCAAGTCACAGACGTGTCTTCTTGAAATAACTGATCTATGGGATTGTACACAACAGACTGGACTCTTCAAATTAAACACGGTCAGTTCCACATTTTTCATGAAAAATGTTGGGGTATAAAAATAGAAAGTTATAACAATAGAGGTTATAGAAAATGGAAATTCCTTACATTTGAATATAAACTTATTTATTTATTTATTTATTTATTTATCAGTTTTTCAAGACAGGGTTTCTCTGTGTAGCCCTGGCTGTCCTGGAACTCACTCGGTCGACCAGGCTGGCCTCGAACTCAGAAATCCTCCTGCCTCTGCCTCCCAAGTGCTGGGATTAAAGGCGTGCACCACCACTGCCCAGCTGAATATGAACTTCTATGGGTATAGCAAATGCATCTATGTAGCAACCTTAAATAGAAATACCTTTGACTTTAGTGACAGCAACTGTGATCTCACTGACACTCACCCTGTCGATCAAACAATGAATCCGCAGCTGTGGCTTTATTAGAAGGAGCTTCTGTGATTGGTCTGAGATATGACCTGTACCCTTTTAAAACAGATGCCATAAATCGCAAAAATGTCTCTTGAATTTCCATCTCCAATTGTGTCATCTTTTTTTGCCAAGAGAAATCTGCTTCAATTGGGGTCATCTCAATTGCTGAACTTTCCTGAGGTTTTCGATGAACTGACAAAGGAAGTAAAAGCAAAACAAGGTATTAATATATAATATTTATTATATCATAATTGAGTGATAAGAAAATAGTTAAAATAAAGTCCACAACCCTCCCAACCCCTCTCTCCCTCTCTCTTGCTATATTTTAGCCATGTAACCCAGGCTGGTTTCTCTTTCACCATCTTGTTGTCTCAGCCTCCCTAAGTGCTGGGATTGCTCAGCTACATAGCAGGATGGAACCAGCCCTAGGACAAACACAAGTTTCAATCTCAAAAATCCTAAACAAACAAATAAAACACCCCAAAACCAACAAAAGAAAAAATTGGACTCGGGTTGTAGCTTAGATGGTATGCTTCCCCACCCCTGGGTCCACCCCTCAAGCCAGCACTGTGCAAACTGGCCTTGGACTAACACCTGCAACCCCAACATTTGGGAGGTAGGGACAAAAGGATCAGGAGTTGAAGTCGTCTTTAGCTCTCAGGACAAAGGATAGCAAAGAGGACAGGGTACAAGGAATATGTTAAAAAACAAAAAAATAACTAACCACACATTGTTTAGGTCTGATATAAAATAACTCATTAAACAGAACAAAATATGTTTAATTAACAATTACCTTTATTTTAATTATCTTGTGCTCACTTTTAAAACACTTTCAAAGGAGAGAGGCAGAAACAAAAGGATCACAAGTTCCAGCTCAACTTGAGCTATGTAGCAAAGACAGTGTCTCAAAACATAAAAAGGGGCTAGAGTGATGGGTCAGTGGTTAAGAATGCATCCTGCTCTCAGATAAGACTAACCACCCACACTGGGCAGCTTACAGCTCCTTGGGATCTGATGCTCCTTTTTGGGCTCCACAGGTATCTAACACATACACACGCACATGTCACACACACCCGCACGTGTGCGCATACACACACTCAAACATTATTAGAAGTAAAATACTAAAACGAAAGAATGAGAGAAAGAGACAGAGCAAGAGACAATTCCCATTTGGGTCTGTGGCAAGTGCCCCACTCCCTCCTCACACTCACCTGAGCAGAGCTGGAAATACAGTCTCCTCAGGGTGCCAAGCAGACTCTTGCATGGCTTTTTGGGAAGCTGCTTCCAGTTTATGTTCTTTTTTTCATCAGATCTATTAAATGAGAGTTAAGAAAATCTGCTATGTAATTCATTTGTACTAAACAAAATTCTCCTGTCAAAGTTAAAAGGGAGAGTCTTCATGCACTGAAGACTAACACTGACACACGGAATGGGAGGTGCTTTAGGATGCTTCTCTTTCCTTGTCAATACTCTTAGACACTGTGACCGTCTCCAACAGCCTTCACCAAAGCAGTAAGTCGTCCAATACTGACTTGGAGTCTGACTTTACAAATTACACTTAAACACTATAGTGGTTTAAGAGTTAAGAGTTACATTGACTGAATTGAAATGTTAACCTATTGGCAGAACTCTAAAATATTATATGCCCAAACCAAGAACTGGATAGAATTTAACAAAGAGTCAAAGCACATCTAGTTCATTGGATTCCTCACAGAGGTATAAGAAGAAATCAAATACAACATTATTTAACATAATCTATGACCATAAAAGCATTGAAAAAAAACCCCTGAAGACACAGATGAAATAAAAATAAAAGCTAAATAATGGTTAAAATTTTCAAAATTTTATAATCCAGAAATATAAAATAGAGTAGAGACAATGGCTTTGAAAAATGTTCTTCTACAAGTCAGCATGTACCAGGCTTTCTTTTAATGTTATAGCTTAGTCTTCAGTCTTCAGTGATTAGAAACCTAGAAAAATGTCAAAGCCCCATCTGACCTAAGGATTAATTAACAGGCCCCTGTTTTGGTCACAACCAAGTAAGGTGTTGAATGAAAACCAAACTAAAACTCAGAAACATTGGCTTCATTTAGATTTCAACTGGGAAGAAGGGATTCCCCTTCCTTGAATTACTATGGCCCAGCCAAATTTACCAGCATGGTCCAAAGAACTCCAAGTAGAAATTAACTTCAATGACTACCTGGCTGATAATGCCACCAGCACAGAAGCAAATGTGGTATCCTCCCTGCAAAGAGAACTGACTAAAGGGGCTGTAACATTCCCATGTTCCAGGTATTGTTAAAAGACTCACATTAGTTGAGCATGATGGCACATATCTATGACTTAGGAAGCAAAGGCAGGAAGATCACCCCAAGTTTAAGGACAGCCTGGTCCATAATAAGTCCCAGGCCAGCCAAGGACATATAATAAGATTTTTCTTATAATTAAGTAAGTATATAAGATGTCAAATCAACTCTGAAACTTTCATGTGTTTAAAATTGATGGCATGTAACATTTAACTCTGATCATGTAACTCACTTGATGTAGTTACATAGTATCTATTTTAGTGCTACCTTTTAAATCCCCAAATGAATACTGTCATCCCTATATGAATTATCATCAGTTTGGAAACTGGCTCTAACATTTACTATCTATCTGACTGAGAAATAATCACTTTGAAATTCTGTTACTCAAATTTCTTCTCTACAAAGTAACAATGATAATGTACCAAATGACTAGGTACTGGCATACATTCACATGCCACAGTCTGTCGAACCCAAGGGGAACTATCAACTATAAAACACTTGTTTTTACTGCCATAAAAGAAAGGATGTTGGACTTGGTGAATGATACATACCTGTAATGCCAACACTAGGGAGAGGCAGGAAGATCAGTTCAAGATCATCCTTGGCTACCACAGCTAGCTCAAACTCAGGGCTAGTCTGTGATATATGAGACCTTCACAAACAAACAAACATTTCAGATCTGGCTATGAGGCTGAGTGGTAGAGATCAGGCCTAACTCACAGCAGACCCTGGGTTCAATTCCCAGGAGAACAAGGAAAGAAATGTAGGAAATGAGGGAAGGGGGGTGGGGGCCTAAATGAATTCATGAAGTGACTCATTACTTCCAAGTTATCTATAAATCTAGCTATACATAATAATGAGTCACTGTAGCTATACAGTTTCAAAATACAGTGCATCCACTTAGCATTATTTTAATTTTAAATTTCTGTGGGGTTGTTTGAGGCAATGTCTCACTCTGTAGCTAAAGCTGACCTGGGTCACCCTATGTAGGCCAGGATGATGTCTAACTCATGGTGATCTTCTTTAGCCTTCCAAGTACTAGCTTTATAAGCATAAACTACCATATTAGCGTCAGTATTATTTTCTAAGCAATGTTTTCTTCCTTTCATACAAATATTCTGTCAGTCCACATACAGACTGCCCTGCAACTGCCAAACAACTGCCCTGCAGTGACCACAAGGGCCAGGAAAGAGAGGGTCTCGTGTAGTATAGGCTGGCTCTAAATTACTATATAGAAGGTCCATGAATTTCTGATCCTGCCACCTCTGTTCCCTGAGTGCATATGCCACTATAGCATCTATTCAGTGCTGGAACTGGAACCCAGGGCTTCAAGAATGCTAAGTAAGCCCTCTACCAACTGAGCTACACTCCCAGACCTCATTTTTTTTGGGGGGGTGGGGGGAATGGATTTTTAATTCAGAGTTTCTCTAAGCAACCCTGGCTGTCCTGGAACCTTGCTCTGTAGACCAGGCTGGCCTTGAACACAGAGATCAGCCTGCTTCTGCCTCCCTAGTGCCAGGATTAAAAGCAAGCACCACCACTACCAGTAGCATCTCCAATTTCTTTATCTACACATTTCCTGGCAATCCAACTTATTTCTAAATGCTTCTAAATACCTTTAATTATATATGGTGGAAACTACACATGGGAGATAAATAATAGAAGATGAATCACTTACACATATAACGTGTTCGTATCCAAGTCAATGCAAACAACATCTTGTGGTGGGTCATGAAGATCAAAGTACCTTGAGTCCACTCCAACTATAAATGGTAAAGGTGCACTAAGCACTCCAGCCAATGAAAGAGGACAAAGGGGGATATATGGGCACTGCCACTGAAATGGAAAGATCATCTAGGGGAAAAGTTTTTTAAAAATTAACCAAATTTGAATTTGCAATGACAACTATACAATTAACTACTGCTGAAAGGGACCATTGAAAAGCAATGAAATCTATTTTTTTCAACTTTAAGTTTCATTCAAAAGTTAAGTGACTAAAAATACTATTGGATTAAAATTTTCAAGGATATTGATGATCATGGCACACTAACAGCTCTTTGCAGGTTAATTCTTTACACAAATCTCAAGCATACTTTATAGATAATCAAAGCAAAAAGATAAAACTGCCCCCAAATAATAAAACAACCCTACATTTTTATAAACTTGGACATTTTACCCACTTATGAACTCTGACCAAAATCTAAGTGTGGAGGGCCTGTAGGCAGTGGGGGAAACAAACTAGTGTGGGACTGTGGTTAGGGATAGTGTTTGCTTAGCGTGTTTTAGGAACTTGGGATTCTATCTCAAGCACCACACTAAAAAATAAAATATAGTAATTAAAACATAATCACTTAAAGATCTCAACAAAACATTTTCTATCCTTCAAATAAACATTTAAAATAATTCAACTTCAGTGAAGCTTGACCTCTTCACAACAGCTGATACTAAACATTCTCTGGGAATCTCAAACAAGTAAACAAAAAGCCAGGCATGATGGGCTCTTTCAATCCCAGCAATGGGGAGGCAGACGCAGGCAGATCTCTGTGGCTTGCTAGCCATCCAATACAGTCAGTGAGAGAATCTGTCTCAAAAAAAGTGGAATGCACCAGAGAAGAATGACATCAGAAGTTTGTCTCTAGTGCACACATGCGTGCACGCGAGCGCACGCACACACACGCACACACACAGAAAGAGAGAGAGAGAGAGAGAGAGAGAGAGAGAGAGAGAGGGGGGGGGGAACATGCACAAACATACACACACCAAAAAAAAATTTAATGGAAGTTTTAATTTACAAATTGACATCTTAGTGTATATGTGCTTAGACTTTTGTTTGCTTGTTTTTTGGTCTTGTTTCTATTTTTAAGAGCAGTTTCTAATAGACTGAAAAAATATACTAAGGGGCTGGAGAGATGGCTCAGTGGTTAAGAACAGTGACTACTCTTCCAGAGGACCTGAGTTCAATTCCTAGAATTCAAACTGAGTGGCTCACAACCTTCTCCAGCCCTAGGAGATCTGGCGCCCTCCTCTGGCCTCCATGGGTACTAGCCCATATATACACAGACATAAACACATAAAACAAATAAATAAATCTAAGAGGAAAAAAAGACTAAAATATTGTTTTGATTTATATACAGCTACCTTCCCAACCAATTGTAGTGACTACGAAGCCTGATTCAAAAAGCATACTTTTACATGAGATGGAACATTATATAGTATAGGTGGCTTCAAACTATGTAGACAATAACCTGCCTCTGGATCTGAATGTTCAATTCAACAATTGGTGACAACTGTAATCAGTAATGACCTATTGCTCTAAGGTCTGGTTCAATATTCACCCTTACTCATCATCACCAACCCCAAAGAAATACCTATAGCCCCACCTCTGCTAGGCGTTACAGATTGTTAGACAATGAGAACGTATCAATAAAACAGACCAATGCCTCCTAGCTTCAAAGTCTAGAATTTTAGTCTTTTTTTTGTAAAATGCAGAATATTTTAGGCCTCGAAGACTTTGTAACAACTACTTAATTTTTTCTGCTACTGTACAAGAAAGCAGTAACAAGTAATAAGTCAGTAAGTAGCCTATGTTCCAATAAAACTATTAGCCATACATTTCTGGCAGACTAGCAGGCCAGACTTGCCCGGTCTGTTGACACCTAGACTGACAGAAAGAGGTATACAATAAACAGAAGACATAAAAAGTATATATTCTATTAGAAAGGGAATAATACTATGGGGGAAAAGACCCATAAACAGAGCTCAGAGCAGGCTGCACTAGTACAGGCAATGTGAGCCTCACTACAAAGAGACCATTCATTACCTGAAACATGAAGGAAGCAGGGTGACTGGGCATGGCAGCTCTCACCTCTAATCCCTACACTGGCAGTTAAGGCAGGAGAATTGTGAAAGTTCACACCACCAACCTGGTAAGTTCCAGGTCAACTTTAGATGAATGTGAGCCTGTCTTTAAAAAACAAAACCAGGGATGGGAGAGACGGCTTGGCATTCAAGAGTGAGTACTGCTCTTGAATAAGACCTGAATTTGGTTCCAGGAACCCACATCTAATGGCTCACAACCACCTGTAACTCCATCTCCAGGAGATCCAATGCTCTCTTCTGGCCTCCACAGGCACTTGCATTCATGTATCCAGACAGACAGATGATGGACGGACACACACACACACACACACACACACACACATTAAATAGATAGTAAAATAAACAAAGGTGAAAGAGATTACTTAGCAGGTAGAGAACACTTGCTGCAGTTAGAGATTCTTGCTGCAGAATCATGAAAGCAGAGGTTCAGATCCCAGCACTCATACAGCAAGCCTGGTTGGTATTTCATGAATGCAGAGGCATATGCACACACACATGCACATGTGTATATTTGTGTGTGCACACACACATGTGCATACAACTACAAAAAATTTCACTATGATCTGATTTCTAAGTGCAGTAAAAAGGCATTACAGTGTTTTAAATACAATTTGACTTCATTTGTGATTTACCCAAGAGCGAATCATTTTTATATTATACTATTCACAATAAAGCCATATATATAAGGAGAGACAATAGTTAAAAGTTAAAATTAGAAATTAACCATGTAATTAATTTGCATAACAAAATCAACTAAAGTTCCATTAGTGTTTTGATTTATTTATTTCTTATATTTTTTGAGGTAAAATTTTGATACACACACACACACACACACACACACACACACACACGCATGCACATGTACACACATTTCTGCCTCAGCCTCCCAAGTGCTATGATATGTGTAGCAACTTTCTTCAAAATGAAACATTTCTTCTTGAAAAAGCAGAGACTCAAGAGATTAAACTAACAAGTGTGGGAAACTTGACTTAGATTCATAAGGCCCCTCTCCTAGGTCATAAAGGACAGTAAGTAATTGCACCAGCTCAATATCTGACAGACTCTGACCTATTGAGATGCTGGCAAGGTCCACAGAGACCGCTAGGGTTCCAGCATCCCTGAGTCATCCTGAGTTGTCATTTAGGCTACAGGGAGCATTTCCATGATGCAGCTACATTTGACTTGTCCCTGCTCCTCTGTGTAACTGCTCATCTATACTCTTGTGAGTCATCTCAATAATACAACTGTTTTCCAATTTGGACTTCGGGAGATTCATTACTTTTGTCTCTCCTTGGTTCTCTATTAGGATGACAAGACCCTTGTTTGTGTCACCCCAGGAAACAAAAGACTACAGGTAGAAACTGCCAGGCTCCACTTACAAGTTTTACTGTTATGTAATGAGTATTTACTCTCTGGACACCAAAAATATGAAAAATTTAAAATTGACATTTTTTTCTCAAACTTTTGTTTTCTTCATACACTCAAATTACATTCATATCAAACTGACTGGGCTGGAATTTGCAAAGTTGCCTTCTTTGAAGAAGAATACAAAATGCTCCAGTAGTAATTCTGTTCTAAAAGGAAAATGATACTTACAGCAACAACAGCTTCAGCTACCCCAGTCAGTACAGCTGGCCTGAGAGAATGCAGCAGAATCTTACTCTCAAGTAAAACCAGCAGCAGCAAGGTTGCACAATTCTCAGGACCCAGATTCATCAGCAAGGAACTAAAGTTGGCTCCACTAGAGAACAGAGAAAGAAAGGATTGGGAACTACTTTACTAAAACATATCAAGATTTATTTATTAAGCAGGTTAAGAATCTAATGTTAATTTCAATTCATAACTTAGCTGAATGCAACTAATTTAATGTATATGGTGTGATTCAAATGAACATTATTAAGAAAGATTTTCTGAAGCTCAAACATTTGAGCTGAGTTCAAAGAAACAGAGGTAGGAGTGTAATGTGGCTGGAGACAGCATTATGTAAAAACTCTGAAGTAGGAAAAAGCTAATGTCACAATCTAAGAACTTCAAAATAAGGGAGCATGTGAAAGTAACAAGAGATTATGGTGAAGAGAAATGACTCAATTAAACTCATATTCATAAGAGGATGCATTGACTACAGGTAGATAAAGAACTGAAGGTCTAAGAGTAAAAGTTTCAATCAAGAGGCTATTAATGAAATAGTTCAGAGAGTAGATGGATTAGTGATGCAGATGAAAAGCAGCAAAGGGGGATGTAGGAGGTTAACATCAGCTCACCATGAACACTGACTTACAAACTGAATATGGGAAGTAGAGATGAGAAAGAAGCACTTCCTGTATTAGATCTTATAATTGTGGATTTTGTAGAATGCCTATGCATGAAGTATGTGGACATGCATGTGGTGGTCAGAAGACAGCTTCAGGTGTTGGTCTGTGGCACCTGCCATCTTTTGTTTACAAAAGAGTCTATCCTTGGCCTAGAACTTAACCAAGTGGGCTACCTGGCTGGCCAGTGATTTCTAGGGTTCACTTATCTTTGGTTCCTGTCTGCCCACTGTTGGAATTACAGGCATGTACAACCCATACATGCTTTCTACATACATGGGTCCTATGGACCAAAATTCAGATCCTCAAACTTGCAGAGCAAATGCTTCACCTACTGAATCATTTCCCCAGTCTTGCAATTGTCTCAAAGTACCTCCATATTAAGTCAGCCACACTGTCTACCCAGGTATCAAGGATGGCAATACTAAGTGATACCCTATTCTTACCTAGTATCATCCTGCCTCTAAAGTATACTGACCCTTTTTCTTTTTGAGACAGAACTCAGGGCTTGTGTAAACTAAACAAGTACTCTATCACAGAGTTACTACATGTACCTGTAGTTTATTATTTTAAGACAGGATCTCATTAAGTTGTCCATGCTGGCCTTAAACTTGCAATCCTTTTGCCTCAGTCTCCCAAGATTCTAAGATTACAAGCTTGAACCACCATGCTTAGCTCAGTAAAATATTTTAAAGCATTTTGTTCCAAGCAAATAAAAATAGCATTTTAAATATTATAAAATGGGATGAGGGTGTGGCTCCGAAGGCCCAACATATATAACGTCCTGGATCCTAGCCACAGACAAACAAACAAACAAATAAGCAAACCATCATTACCTTAATGGTAAAGGTGTGGACACTGGTTGTGATAATATTAATGCATCATGGACTGATAGCTTAAACAAACAAGAAGACAAATTAGCCAAAGCAACTTTATAGTCTCAATATTTAGATCAAGGGCTTAATATGCAGAAAGGTATATAATTTAAAGTTCACTGAGATATAAATGATAACTGTAAATACTCAGAGGTTTGTTTTTTCTTTTTTAATCAGCTTTTCTTAAATTGATGACTGAGTTTTGACCCAGTTAGGAGGTTAAGTGCAATTATTTAAAATTTTTGAATAATTTTTTAAGATCCTGAAATTTATTCATTCAAGAAACTTAGTTAAGCATTTAGTAATTGTCTCATACAAATTAATACTTGCTTAACTGAAATACATTCAAGACCAACAGTATCTGACTCAGTCCTGCTATAGAGTATAAATAATATCTTAGGAGAAATGTTAAATAGATTGCCTCATTAGACTATAATGCCACTCAGTGTGAGTTTGTAAACTGTTATGATTCAGGAAGAAACAGTAAATAAACAGAAAGCTAAATATTTTGCAACTTTCATAACAACCTGATCTCATTCCTATAGCTAAACAGTAAAGTCTGTGGAATCTTGTCTAATCAAGTAGTGAATGTCACAAGTTGTTCACCTACCTAGGCCTGGGAAAGAAGCAGGTTCTTTAGTACAGTCTTAAAGTACTGTTAAAAGCTGTATTAGTTTCCCTCCTCCCAAATAAATTTTAAATATTCCACATTGAAATATTAAAATATTAAATATTTTCAGTTACTTAGAAACTAAGGACATAACCATAACATAATTTTATGTTATGGGTTTAATTATTAAATTTAGCTATGGAAAGGGAACATATGGACCAATGGAAACAATACCATGAATCATAAGTTATATTTACTCCAGTTCTATTCACCTGGGGTCTAAAAAATGACTAGAAAAGAATGTTCAATAAAGAATAATTAGAACTTCAAACACACATACTGCTTCATCTCAAACTCAAAGAACTTAGCACAAACTGACACAAATAGACTCCTTTTTCATTACCTGTACGAGGATTCTTGGTCTTTGTGGTGAAGGAAAAGGGATATTTTGCATAAAATGTGAAATGTGCCTAGAAAAGATTGTAAAATACCATAGTTACTTTTCTTAAATGTATCTCAGATCTTAGCAAGCCTTTCATTCCACTATATATCATCCCAATAGAAAAACTATTTATTTAAAATTAGGCTAAAGAATAAACTTTTACAAAGCATACTGGTGGATTCTTGTAATTCTGGTACTTAAAAGGTTGAAGCAGGAGGATTACTACATGTTGAAAACTGGCCTGGGCTTCCTAGTGAGTTCTAGTCCAGCCTGCACTATAAAGTAAGACCTTGTCTAATAAAGCAAACAAAACCCATTATTTTCATCAGGAAAACAATAATATAAAAGTAGCTCTAATAAAATACAGAAGCAGCTAAGAATAACTACACTCTTGCAGTGAGCCTTAGTTAAGTTCATAGTGGCTTACAACAGCCTGTAACTCTAGCTCCCCCTCCTCTGGTCTCCATGGGCTATCATATACTTGTGGTATACATATGTATGCACATGAACACACACAAATAAAAATAATCTTTGCCTAAAAAAGGTATTTTTGCCAGGCAGTGGAGGTATATGCCTTTAATCCCAGCACTCAGAAGGCAAAGACAGGCAGATCTCTGAGTTCAAGGCCAGCCTGGTCTACAGAGTTAATTCCAGGGTAGCCAGGGCTACACAGAAACTCTGTCTTGAAAAATAAAAACAAACAAGAGTTATTTTTATAGCCCTGTTTATCAATGCCAATGTAAGGAAACATAAATAAGAAATTTAATCCTAGATTTACTACTTGAACTTTGAACACCTAAATGCTATTTCTCTACTTACAAACAATGTTTTTCAAGTTTCTCCAGAAGTGTATGCTCTTGGGAGAAACAATGTAGAATCTACACTAAGAGAAGAACAATGATCATATCATTGATCTCTGAGTCTTCTGTAGAAATCATAGGATGTCAATTGTCTATAAGCTTGCTTATTTTTCACCAATGTTAAATTTCACCTCAATGTAATTAATCTGACAATCAAAAATTACATGCAAAAAATAAACCACTAGCTTACATTCATTACATTACATGCTTAGCTCAGTAAAAAATTTTGATTTTGTGATAAGTTTACACAAAGCTCTTAACCTTTCTTGGTTTGTTACTAAAGTCTTTATTAGATACAATAATAAACAAAAAACATGGGCCAGAGAGATGGCACAGTGGGTAAAAGTGTCTGCTACCAAGCCTGACAACCTGAGTTTGATCCCCCCAGAGCCCACATGGTGGAAGAAGAGAACTAACACTCAGTTATCTTCTGACTTCTATTTGTGTGCCTTGATGGTATATACACATGTGTGTGCATAGATAAATGCACGTATACAGTAAGTTTTTATTTATTCATTTATTTCATTTACTAATTTTATGTATCTGAATGTTCTGTTTATATGTATGTCTCTGCACGACATGTGGAAGTCGGAAGAGTGTCTTAGATATTCTAGATCTAGAGCTATGAGTAACTTGTGAGCTGACATAAGGGTGCTGGAAATCCAACCCAAGTCTTCTGCAAGAACAAGTACTCTTATCTGCTGAACTATCCCTCTTGGCCTCAAAAAATAAATGACCCATGCATACCTATAAAGTCCCTGAACTCAGAAACTAAAAGGTCTAGGAGTTTGCAGCCAGTCTGAGCTACAAGAACCCTGTCTGAAAAAAACAAACAACCCCCCCCAAAACAAACAAACAAAAAAAACCCCCAGTCTTCATAGCTGTAAATCATTTCCATGAAAAAGAATTGTGATGCATTCTGCCTTGTGCTAAAATGACACACTTAAAATCAGTTAATTTACCTTTCTAATTTCCCCATTAGTTTAGAGATGAACATTCATTATACCTTGATCTTGTATTGGCCACTTACACAAAGCCCAAGTGTACATTCGTTATCTTGATTTCTGAAGAACTCAGTAGACCAGGTTGGCCTTGAACCCAGAAATCCACCTGCCTCTGCCTCCCAAGTGCTGGGATCAAGGGCGTGCACCACCACTGCCCGGCCAGAATTCTTAAAACAACCATAAGGCCATGCTTACCAACTCCAACTTCAAGTTCCTAATTTCAACAACTGAGGTAGAGAATGGAACAAGCTAAAACAAGGGGACTATGACTCTCCTTCTCTTCAACTCGGCTGCTAAGCTATCTAAACAATGAAATGAGCACTGCACATCGGATTTCCAGAGTCATGACTCCTCCTCGTCATACATACTTTTCAATGGGAAGAGGATGTGGTCCAGACACAGAAACTTTGTAGATAAACATAAGAAATTTCTTAAAAGCTTCAAAAAAAGGCCAGTGTGAAAGCAAACAAATGCATTTGTTTGAATTGATGGGTTTGGAGATCACTTTTCTCTCCACGGGAGTCAACAGGCCCAGCTGTGTAAGTTGTTTCTCTGTTAGAAGTTCTCGAGAGTAAGGTTCATAAAACTGGATGGCAGCTCCATATACCTACAGTCAAAGAACTGTTGTAAGATTTGATATTGTTTTTAAAAATTCATCTTTTTTTCTACATTTTTCACTTTTTATATTTCATGCTGGAAATTAAACCCCAAACCCCAAGCATCTTAGGCAACCACTCTACCAGTAGATATTTATGCCCAATACTCTTTTTTAAACAAATATTTTCTGGGACTACATACCAAACATAAATAAAATGAAATATCAATCAGATATTTCAACCCAAACTCAACCAGATTTTGATCCAAATCCATCTAGATCCTCCCACACAGTATGGTTAAATATTTTAAGCATATATTATCTACAAAAAGAAAGAAAGAGAAGGGGAGAACAGAAAATAGCAGAACAGAATAGCAAAGAAAAAATTAGAAAAAGAGGAAAAGGCAACCTTTTATGCAGGTGAGGTGGCTTAGCAGGTATAACATTTAACCTTGTAAGCCTGACACCTTGAGTCCAAACTGCCAGATTCCATAAATAGGAACGGACGCCTCAAAGTTACCCTCTGACCTCTACAAGCATATGCATGTACACATGTACTCCTAAACTCACATATGCATTTTTTTAAAAAGACCACCTTGTTTTAACTTGTTGTCACTTTTAACCACTCTATATATTTTTATCCAATACCTAGAAAGAGTATTCTAAGGACCTCACTCAACTTGTACTTGCTTGTATGCCATTTTTCAGAACACTGAATATACAGAAACATACAGTTGGTCACATCTGTCATTTTTTAAGTGTAGCTACATGTGACACATGTGCCATGGCACATATATCAACCCTCACTTTCCACCGTGACATAGGATCTCTGCTGTTTACCATTATATATGCCTAGCTAAGTGGCCTAACATGCTTCTGGGATTCTCCTGTTCCTGCTTCCCATCTTGCCACGGGAACACTGAGGTTACTGATATGTACTACCATATCTGACTTTATGTGGGCTCTACGGATTCAAACGTGGGTCCTCATACCTGCATGACAAGATATTAAGCACTGAGCCATCTCTTCTGCCAACATTACTTTTCTTTTTCTCTTAAGATACATAACCCTGGCTCATCTGAAACTCACAGAGATTCACCCGTTTCTGCCACCTGAGTATTGGGGTTAAAGGCAGGTGTCGCTCATCTCTGGACATACTATAACAGAATACAACTCAGTGACATTAATTTTCACAATCGTGTGTAACCATCACTGTTATCCACTTTCAAAATCTTTTTTTTTGATCACTAAAGAGAAGCTCTGTACCCCTTAAACAAAACTTCCCATTTTTCCCACTCCTAATCCAAATTGCTAGTAGCTTCTATTCTACTTTCTGCCTCAATAAAATTGCCTATTCTAATAGTACCTACTGTAGTTACAAGCAGTGTTTATTCTTTTTGTGTCTTGCTTATTTTTCTTAGCATGTTTTCAAAGTTCATTCATGCTACAGTATGTAGTTGAATTTTATCTTTTTTAAGGCTGAGTAATATTCTATATGATATATAAATGAAATTCCACTATCCTTTTACTCTTCAGTGGATACTTGTGCTGCAATAATACTGTACTGGCATCCAGGTTCTTTCTGAATCCCTAGGTTCAATGAGTCCCATGTTCTCTGGGTACAATCTTCAGAATAGAGCAAATTTATCAAGTAATTAATTCCATTTTCCTTTTGAAAGAGCTTCCAATCTGTTGTTCATACAAGCAGGGTTCAAAGGTTCCACTTTCTCTATATTCTAACACCGACTTTCTGATTTTTTGCTGTTACAACAGCCAACCTAACAGACGTGAAATGCTACTTTTCTATAACTTTGCATGAGGAGAACTTGGCAGGAATCTGACACTGGCCAAGGACAAGGAAATGGGCCTCAGGCAGGAATCTGACATTGGGCCATGACAAGGAAGTAAGTTCTGGCAGGAATCTAATTTTAGGCTAAAACAGGGAAGTAAATTCAGGCAGGAATCTAAATCTTAGGCTAGAACAAAGAAGTACGCTTCAGGCATGAATATGACTTTGGGCTAGGACAGGGAAGTAGGCTCAGATATTTTGGTCATCCTGATAAACCCCTAAGAAACAGTGATCATAGTAGTGATCATGGGACTTTGTTTATTGTCTTACTTGTTCTTTGACTATTTGTGTTTATTGTCTTGCTTCTTCCTTGACTATGTGCATCTACTGTATTGCTTATTCCTCAATGTAGAACTAACCTTAATACTTACATGTAATTAAAATGGTATAAAGGCAGATTGGGAAAAAATAAACCTGCCTCAGCATCAAAACTGGCCTGGTCATTTACATGAAGCTGAGCATCTCTTACAAGCTTACTGGCCATTTATGTCTCTTTGGAGAAATGTCTATTTAAGTTTGCATGGTAGTTTGAATAAGAATGACCCTATAGGCTCATAGATTTGATCCAATATCACTCTCTCTTCCTACAGCCCATGAGTTAGGATGTAGAACTCTAAGCTACTTCTCTATCACCATGTCTGCCAGCATGTCGAATGCTTACCACCGTGACGATATGAACAACCTTTGAAAGTGAAAGGCAGTCCCAATCAAATGTTTTTTCTCTTATGAGAGTTACCTTGGTCATGGTATCTTTTCACAGCAACAGAACTGTAAGTCTGTGATGATTAATCTTGGTTGAAAAGAGGTTTGGAACCTTAATTAAAGAACTACTTCTTCCACAATGGTCTGTGGCCATAACTGTGAGGCATTTTTTTTTTTTTTTTTTTGGTTTTTTGAGACAGGGTTTCTCTGTGTAGCCCTGGCTGTCCTGGAACTCACTCTGTAGACCAGGCTGGCCTCGAACTCAGAAATCCACCTGCCTCTGCCTCCCAAGTGCTGGGATTAAAGGCGTGCGCCACCACCGCCCGGCTGTGAGGCATTTTCTTGAGTGCATATTGATGTCTCAGGGTCCTGCCTGCTGTGGGCAGTACCATTTCTAAAATGGAGAGGCTGGGCTGTTTTTAAAAAATAGCTGAAAATGAGCTGAAGAAAGAAACAGTAAACCATTTTCATCCATAGTCTTTCCTAGTTCAATTCTTGCCTTGACTTCCCTCAATGATAGACTATGACTTGGAAGTGTAGGATGAAATAAACTATTTTCTCCCCAAGTTGCTTTAGGCCATGGTGTTTATCACAACAGAAATCAAACTTAGATAACAACAGTCCTTTGACCCATTTTTGAATTGGGATGGTCAAGACTTTGTTGTTAGTGTGTTTATATACTTTGAATATTAACACTTATGAGCTAGGGGTATAAGCAGAACACTTTGCCTGCAAAGAGGTCCCTGAGTTAAATCCCCATCAGAAAAAAATAAAACCCTTTTAAGATACAGATTTTGCAAATATTTTCTCTCTTCTTGTCAGTTGTGATTTCTTTCCTGCTTGTAAGATGTTGGGGCTTTTAGGTTTGTTTGTTTTGAGGTAGTTTTATGTAATCCTAGTTGGCTTCAAACTTAAGAGGCTCAGGCTCCTTGTCAAAATGCTAGAGCCACAGGTGTACACCACTCATACATTCTTGGACAGATCCAAGATGTTATGATTAACATTTCCTTTTCCTCTCTATAACAAAATTAAAACTGACAGTCCTATCTTCAAAATCTTGACTTCTGTGGTATGAAAGTAAAGACTTTTTTTTATTCTGCTAGCTTCCTTCTTTCCCACCATAGATCCAATTCTGTTAATTATTTAAATACTGCCATTTTTTGGCTAATTCTATTGGGAAAATTTCATTCTCTAATGGTTTGAACTACAACCATCTCACTAACAGAATACCAATCTTTATTTTTGTCTGTCCTCATTCCAGAATTCAATTCCAGATGACTTCATAACATCTCTATCTAGACAGACAACATAAGCCACTATTTTCAAAAGTCAAAAGACATTAGGAGGATGGCTCAGTGAATGAAGCACTTGCCACACAAGCATGAGAAACTGAGCTTAGATCCCCAGTACCCAAGTAAGGGCTAGGCACTAAAAATGCAATCTTTGCTAATCTACTCTTTGGAATTCATTTATTGAATCTTCTAACTCTATGTGTTATATTTTTATTTATTATCTATTTGTTTGTTTGTTTGTTTGTTTAATACAGGGTTCCATTGTCCCCTGCTGGGACAGAACTGCTGTGTAGACCTGACTGGTCTCAAATTCAGAGATCTACCTGCCCCTCAAGGGCTGGAATTAAAGGTATGTACTACCATGCCGAGCCATAGCTGCTATATTTTTGAATTTCATGTTCTACCCTTTTCAGTGCTACATCTTAATGTCTACTTCCTCTTCATTAATTCTCCCTTTGGGTATTGATATGTGTATTGTTGAAACCATTTGCTGAAAGCTAGGCATGGTACAACATGCCTATAATTCAACACAAGAGGCCACAGCAAGAAGATTCATATAAATGAGGTCAGTCTAAACTTCATAGTGAGACACTATCTCAAAAAAAAAAAAAATCAAAGTCAATGAATTTTAATTGCATTTACTTTTTATTTTTAAAGATCATATTCCTAATTTCTAGTCATCTATTTTCTTCTGTTTACTAATTTTGTTTGTTTGTTTGTTTGTTTTGAGACAGGATCTCTCTATGTACCTCTGGTTATCTAGAACTTGCTTTGTAGACTAGGCTGGCCTCAAACTCATAATCTCTTTGAACCTTCCTCTCTGCCTCCCAATCATAGTTTTTCATGTCGTTTTTAAAAATTTTATAAATTTTATTACTTTAAAAAAGCTTGCAAGTAAATAAAAAAAATCATATACTAAAATCAACCCGACCCAAATTCTGCTAATTCTATCTGTGTAGAGGTTCACTGGGTTGTGCATACTTTGGGACTGGTTATTTTCGATTTTTACACTGGGAGTTATAGTAATATCTTTTATCCATATAATCCTAACATTCAAAGAAAACATATATGAACCATTTTACAGCATTAAAATATGGACAAAACAGATTTAGTCAATAAGACACAAAATATACCTTTTCAGCTGAAGAACCTGTCAGGACAAATGTTGAGAAAACAGGAAGTGGGTATTTGGTTTGAGGATCCCAGCATTCAATAGTGGCTCCCATAGGAAGGCAGAAGAGAGGCACGGATTCTGAGAGTGGAAAAGACTCATAATCTTCTTCTGGATATCGAAAAATCAAACCTTTCAAAGAAAGGATAATATTTCTTTTAAAAAAGTTGCTTTTATATAAATTATTCATGATACATACTTATTAATACATTATAATATCAAATTTCTTAGAAATATTTGTATAAAATTTTTAAATTAATTTTTTCTATAACAGAAATTAAGATAAGCCAATCTATCCTTTATATGTCATCCTTGAACTTACAATTGCAACATAAAATGTATTAAGAATACTAATATTCCAGGACAGCCAGGACTCCATTAGATGGAGAAACCCTGTCTCAAAAAAAATAAAAAAGATACTAATAAAGAATTCAGCCAACCTGATCAACAATCAACATTTTTTTTTACCTAAATATGTCAATATTTTGTAAAGAATGATAAGAAAGATAAAGGCAAATTTACTAATTACTTCAGTTAATCTTTGGGGGAAATTCAGATAAGAGATATATGTTATTTCTTAAACGTAAGACAGTGCTGAAACCCATGGTGTAAAAGGCATTCAACATGAGTAAAGTATGTGACTCCCAGGAAGGAGGGCAGGTGGCAAGCAGCACCGAGAGCTCTAACAGAGCCCTTTCAGGTAAAGGAGCTGCACACCATCAGTTAACTGGCCTCTAATGTCACCAATATACAGCCTACTTCCAAGCTAAAAACTTGAACATTCAGTCTCTAAAACTTTGTATTCTATGTGTAAAATTCAGATTCTCAATACTTTTGCAAACTTTCTGTAAATATTTTAGGTTTGAGCATTATCTATTGGTACTATTTCCCTTCCAGAGAAAAGACTTCAAGGTAATCGTGTATTATAAACACATTACAACAATATCATACTCTAAAATGATTCTGAAATTCCTAGTAATTGTTGCTTTTGTTTTGTATAAAGTAAATGTTTTAATTCATTACTTTAAATGATGTTATTATAAGGACAAGAGTTTTCAGATATGGATTTACCTAACTTTTCTAAAATAAAATTTCATCCCCAAACTGCATAAGCAAAAAGTAATTGACATTGCTTCTTTTCACAAAGAAGCATTCCAGTATCTGCTATTTACAACTGGAGCATACCTGTATTTTCAGATTTTATCCCACCATACCAGTGGGATGAAGAAGTCACACTTAAATCTTTACAGCCCTTGACACTTTAGTGTTCAGTTAGAATGTGGCGATAGATTTCCCAAAAACTTCATGGCAGAAAAGTTTCTCAGGCCCTCCTCTCCTCCATATAGCTGATTCTTTGCAACAAGAGAGAAAGGAAGCAAGTCCACCTTTCATGGCAAGTAACATGTGCTTTCAAATCAGACACACAAAGATAAGAGAAGGAAATGTAAGAAGTAAAGACGCAGTTTGACATCTTTATGATTGCCCATACAAAGACCAAAGAGTAAGCGATTTCCACTGAGTTATTAAATCTATTAGTGTAGACCAAAAGCTTGGAGGTTTGTGCCTCAAATGCTTGCTTGGACAAAAGTTTAAATTTAACAACATATAGAGGGTGGTATTAGTAAATCTTACAACATATAATAAGAAAACTTCAATATTTACATGCTAAAATTATAGATAATAAATAAATCAATTCAACAAAGTATATAACAAAACATATTTTGTCTCTTCTAGCCAGCCCAATGTAATAAGCATTCACCAGTTTGTTCAATTGAGATAGATCTTCAGTTCACTTACCAGCTTTATATGCTATTGCATTTGAAGCAGGCACAGACTTCTTGTAACACAGAAACACATTGGAACCCCACTGTAAAAGATAAATAAGTTTTAAAAAAAACTAACCAAAAGTGATAGGGCAGAACTGATGATCTCTAATGTCCTTTAGAGAGTTTGCTATTTATCCACACAAATCATTTATAACTCACAGTGAGTCAGGAGAGTTAATACGTGCCTGTAATCCCAGTCTTTACGATGAGGAGGCAGAGGGTAGTGAATGAGGTCACCCTGGGTTACAAAATACAAAGACTCTGTCTTTAAAAACAAACAAAAAGAGTGGTGCATGCCTTTAATCCCACCACTCTGGAGGCAGAGGAGAGAGGATGCCTGTGAGTTTTGAGGCCAATCTGGTCTACAGAGCAAGTTCAATGTTAGCCAGGGCCACACAGAGAAACCCTGGGTGTGGGGGAGAGCTGGGTGTCTTAGTTAATAATAAATACCTATCTAGTATGTCTGAAACCCTGAGTTTGATCCCCAGTGCCACATAAGATTGGACTTGGTTGCCGGGCAGTGGTGGCGCACGCCTTTAATCCCAGCACTTGCGAGGCAGAGGCAGGCGGATCTCTGAGTTTGAGACCAGCCTGGTCTACAGAGTGAGTTCCAGGACAGCCAGGGCTACACGAGAAACCCTGTCTCAAAAAACCAAAAAAAAAAAAGATTGGACTTGGTGGTGCATACATGTTATCTTGGCACTGAGGAGGTAGAGACAGACTGGAAGTTCAAGGTCTTCTTCACCTATATAGCCATTTCCAGACCACCCTGGGATGGCATACATGAGACTCTGACTCAACAACAATAGTAACAATAATAAATATTCTCAAACTAAAACCTACATTTATAAGGGTAGGAATATAGCTCAGTGGTAGAGTTCAATTCCAGAACCCGAAAATAAATAAATATATGGAATAACTTACAAATATGGTTGACAACACTCACTGGAAAGAAACAAGTTGGTTTTTTTGGTTTTGTTGGTTTTTTAAAAAAAAGTTTTAAAAAGTTTTAAACAGTTTCAACAACAAGTTTACAGTTGATGAGGCCAGTGGGATGACGGCTCAGTGGACAAAGGTGCTCACTGTTAAGCCTGAGACCTGAGTTCAATCTTCCAGGAGACACATGCTGGAAACAGACACTCAACTCCCAAAAGGGATCTCCTGTCCTCCATGTGTGCACACATGCAAGGCAACATGCACACACCCGGGGGTGGGGGGAACTTTTAAAAAAGTTTATAGTTTTACAATCATTCAGAGCCTATGAGTGCTTGAAAGAAAGCCACACAAAGAGGGATGGACACGGGAACGCCTGAATTCCTAGGAGACTATGAGGTTATCACCTCCACTATGCATCACCATCTATCTTCACAATAAATCTAACCCAACACGAACCATTAGTCTTACAAAACTATAATTCAAATGCATATGCCCAATTCCTTTCTTTACAACTCTGTGTACTTATTTGAGCCAGGTCTGACTTTTGTAGCCCAGATTGTCTAAGGAATGCTCTATTCCACTGAGGTTGGCTTTGAACTCATGACTCTTCTGCCTGTACCTCAGTGCTGGGATTATAGTCATATCTGAATTTTACTAACCCTGTCAAAAAGGAAAACCACAATGTAAGGAGAGTTTCCACTCAATCTATCTGCAACTGTCCTTAAAGCTACTATTGAAAACTAAAAGTTAATAAATCTCTATATTGATATAACAGAAAATATTAAAATACACAGACATACATAAAATCCCAAGCTGAAATTATACTTTTTCTGTGTCAACAGAATACTAGAAATCATAATTTATGCATATGAGAAAGACACAGATAGTAGTCCATAGTAAGGGAGCTAGTCTAGCATGCACAAAGCCCTGGCTTGATCCCCGGCTCCACAAGTCCTTTTAAATTTAAAAAATGGAAACATAAAAATATGAAAATATTCTATGGACCTAGTATTAAACTTTTTGGCTTATTTCCAAACAAAACTTTGAAAAGGAAGCAACTCTGCTCTTACCATGCCACAGTTTAAGTTTTTATCAACTTTGCAGAAGGTATGAGGAGGGGTCTCTCCTTTACTGGTTATAATCACACAGATATCAGTTACAGCCAAGGAATTCTGGGACCGCACTGGAGGAGCCCTTCGATAGGTGATAAAGATTCTCTGAGATGTAGCTGAACTATTGTTGACATTGGCACAGCGGCCATATGGTGTGGCTTGGATCACTTCACATCCTGGAATAAGCCTTTCTTTCCCTTCATACAGCACTCTGTATGGCAGGGAGGAAAGGGAGAGAAAGGTTTTAAGTTAATGCTGTTTTCTTCTTGAAATGAGCAAACAAAACTTTAGCCATTCCTGTTGCTCTCGAAACTTCAACCAGAAACCATAACTAAAATTATTAGAAATTATACTTCTCTGGAGTAATTTTTAAAGGCTTAAATATGATTTAAGAAGCAAAAATTAGATTGAGCAATTCAACTTTTTATGACAAACACATAAAAAAGGAATAGGAACACTACAGACACCCTCCATTCAGGCTCTAAAACTTCTACAGAGTATTCAGGTAGTTTTAGAAAAATATCCCTCCTAATTCTTGTCACGCTTTTATCTTTAAAAATCCTTAGACAGAATGAGCTCCACTTACTAGGGAGACAAAGGCATGAAGATCTCCATTAGTTCAAGGTCAGCCTGGTCTACACAAGTTCCAGGCCAGACAGGGAAAGAAAGCAAAACCATACATTCAACAAATACTATCAAGTAGGTAAAATGTGCCAAGTATCCCAACTGAGGCACAAGACTGACAAAGTTCAAGGTCTACCTTGGATACACAGGGAACTCCAGTTCAGCCTAGGCTACAGAGTAAAATCCTGTATCAAAACAAACAAACAAACAAAGAAAACCCCAAACCTCTCTGGCTTGAGAGGTGGCTCAGTAGATCAGGGCACTTACTGCTAAGCCCAACCTTAGCTCTGATTGCAGAGAAAACAGAGAAATGGCTCCTGTAGGCTGAACTCCACATGTGCCCACACACATATATTTATACACACACGAAGTCATTTTAAAATGTAATTTCAAAAAGAGTTAAGTTAAAAAAACTATACAAAATGTGAAAAAAATCAAGACACATAAGATAATACAATTCTTAAATGTATACACAACAGGACACGGTGGCACACCATGTCCTGCATTTATGATGATGAGACTGCTTAGGGGTATAATTAGACTGCCTTAGGAAAATAAAGGGGGCCAGGTATGGTGGTACACACCTTTCCTCCCACAACTCTGGGGGAAGAGGCAAATAGATCTCTACATAATGTACCTCTGAGTTCCAGGTCAGTCAGCTACATAGTGAGACCTTGTCTCAAACACCCAAGTCAAGTTGGGCTGGAGAGATGGCTCAGTAGTTAAGAGCACAGTTGCTCTTCCAGGAGACCCACATGGTGCACAGACATGCATAACACAAAACACCCTCACACATAAAATATTTTTAAAAATAAGTAAAATTTAAAAAATATATAATAAAAATGCACAAACTTTGGTGAAGGACATAAGAGAATTCTGTTACCCTTGCAGTTTCTGTGTCAAGATAAAAATGTTTTCAACTAAACTGGTTTTTTTGCCAAGGCTCAGGACAGCTAAGCAGAACTGAAAGCTCCAGGGCAGACTACGCTGTGCAGCTAGACATGTCTCCAGAAACCAAGTAAGTACTATTTTTTTTTAAAAAAAAAATGCTTAAAATGAAATGTCCCTGTTTTTTTAAAGTAGGCAAAGAATGAAAATAGACATTAAAAAAAAAAGAGATGCAAATGGCCAAAATCACAATTCTTTGTGTGTTTGTGTGTGTGTGTGTGTATGTGTGTGTTAGGATAGGAGTGGTTCTAAGACAGGCTTTCAAGTAATCTATCAAACTAGATACATAGCCAGACAGCCTCGAGTACTGGTCCTACCAAGATCACAGTCGAGTACCTCCGTGACCACCAGGCTCTACCATCAGTTTTTTTAGGAGTAGTTACTATAAACATGACACTTCAACATAATATCCACACATAGTAAATCATCGGGGGATTATAAAAGTAACATCACTTTCAAAGAAAAATAGTAACACAAATTTTTGAAATTAAAAGTCTTTGCAGCAGTTACAAAGAAGAAATCTTTTTTGTTTTGTTTTGTTTTTTTTTGTTTTTCAAGACAGGGTTTCTCTGTGTAGCCCTGGCTATCCTAGAACTCACTCTGTAGACCAGGCTGGCCCGGAACTCAGAGATCTATCTGCCTCTGCCTCCTGAGTGCTGGGTGGGCTAAGTGTACCATTACTATCCAGATTTTTTTTTTTTTTTTAATATAAGCAGGCTGGGAATTGAACCCAGAAGCTTATATGTTAAGCAAAGTAGGCCCATCTCCAGGGAGGGAGAAGAGAAGACTTCCCCCAAACCCAATATTTGAAATAGGATCTCATGAAGCCTAGGTTGGTCTTGAACCAGGTATACAGTCAAGAATGACCTCAATGTTTTAATCTTCCTGCTCCCACCTTCCAAGTGCTTAGATACAGGCATGAGCCATAACTAGCATCCAAATACATATTTTAAAAAGGAATACTCTTTCCTAAAGATATTTAAACTTATAGTTATTCATCGTTCAACACATACTATCTCTTAAAAACACAATGCCTATTATCATAACTCCTTATGTTTTTGTATCTAATTAAGAACATGTATAGATATACAATATATCTTTAAACTTAATCTTGAAATAAAAACTAATAAAACTATCAGAAACTTCATGTTTCTATTATGTACGTTTTTTACCTTTAAATAAATGTAATTCCCTTTACCATAGCAAAAGAGAGTGATCATACCCAATATCTGTAAGGGGTGGTTTATCTCTCCCTCTCCTGTAACACAGGAAAAGCTCTGGGCTTTTCAGACTTCCATAATTCAAGTTTGCTTGGAGCGCTGATGGAGTGGCTTCAACACAGGTGTAACCTTCAGGTACAGTTTCCCCAGCTGATTTGATAATAACAGCAATGTCTGTGATTGGAGCTTTAGGGCCAATTGATTTAGTATCTATACGATTTATTTCTTGATCCAAAAGAGTGGATGTATCAGTGAGACCTGCCACAACGAAGTAGTCTGTCACTCTTGGTCCTTTGTCTTCTATCATGATGACTATTCTATTTCCTGAAAGAGAAGAAAATGCATCATTGGTTGGAAATACTTTACACAGGTCAAAATTAAGAGTTAGGAATAATCAGCTACACATTTCTCAAATTTGTAATCAAACTTCATTCTGTAGAAGCATTTTATCATCTTGTCAGCTTTTACCTACAACAAAGACTAGTACATTTGCTACACAACTATATTCATTTCATGTACCTACAGCTCTTCCTTTAAGATCATCAGTGGAGTACAGTGGCTCAACCTGCAATCCCAGCACTTGGAAAGATAAAGCGGGAGGATTTTCAGTTTGAGACCAGCACTACACAATGAGATCCTGTTTCAAAACCTGAAAAAAAGGGGCCACTGAGGTGGCTCAAAGGGTAAAATATCTGCCTTTTTCAAAAGCCTAATGATATCAGCCTGATACCTGAAACCCACAAAGGGAGAGAGCCAGTGCTCCTGCAATCTGTCCTCTGACCTTCACATTCACAATGTGGCATACACACACACACACACACACACACACACACACACACACAACTGTTCAGTCATACATGGACATATGCACATATACATACTACTATTTGGTAAAGATTTATGCGATGCTGATCTAGGTAATACTATGGATGAATAATAAAATGATGTGAATTATGAATAGAAGCAACCAGAGCCCCTCCCCCAAAAGAATGCATGAGTCTACTTGTATTGTTGTTGTTCTTATTTGTGTATGTGTATAAAAAATTATACTATACTATGTAACATATATATACATGTATACATGTATACATAGTATAATTATATATATATACTACGTAGCCTCAGCTGGCACAAAACTGACCCTTCAGACCAAGCTGGCCTCAAAGTCACAGAGATCCATGTGCATCTGCCTCCCCCATTGCTTGGATTAAAGGCATACACCGCCATGCCTAGTACCATATAAATTTTAAATACTGGTTGCAGACATAGCTTAGTGGCCCCTCTTCCAGAAAAGATGGGTTCAATTCCTAGCACCTATATGGCAGTTCACACCAGTCTGTAACTCCAGTTTTGGGGAATCTGATGCCTTCTCCTCACCTCCTGAGTACCATGTATACACGGGACATATACATACATGTACACAAAACAGACACATATAATAAAAATAAAGAAAATCATTCTGGGCTGGAGAGATGGCTTAGCACTTAAGAGCACTAGCTGTACTTCCAAAGGACCCAGGTTCCATTCCCAGCACCCACAGGGAGGTTCAAAACCATCTGTAACTCCAGTCCCAAGGGATCTGACACCTTCTTCTGGCCTCCAAAGGCACTGTAAAAAATGTAGTGCAAAGACATTCATGTAGGCAAAACACTCGTATACATAAAAGGGAAGGGTCGGAGGACTTGTGAGGTGGTTCTGGCGGTTAAGAACCCTGGCTGCTCTTCCAGAGGTCCTGAGTTCAATTCTTGCAACCACAGGGTGGCTCATGACCATCTATAAAGAGATCTGATGCCCTCTTCTGGCATACAGGTGTATATACAGATGGAGTACTCACATAGGAAAAAAAAAAAGTCAGGCATAGTAGTCTATGCCTTTAATTCTAACACTTTGGGAGGTGTAGAGCCAGGCAGATATCTCAGTTTGAGGCCAGCTGAGGCTACCCAGAGAAACCCTGTCGAATGAATGAATAAATGAATGAATGAATGAATGTTAGGAACTATATTGGTAGAAAACACTAGAGATAATGAGGTAGAAGGAAATTTAAAATATTGATGGATATTTTCACTATCTTGATTTGACAATGTTTTCCCAAGTATATACACTTGTGTATTTTAATATAATATTTGATGTAATTAATTCAGGATATCATTATGGTATTTTGAATAGGTCTGGCTCCCACAGATTTATGTGTCTGAATGCTTGGTCCAAAGAAATGGCACTATTAGGAGGTATGTATCATTATTGGAGGAGTGTGTCACTGTGGGAGCAGGCTTTGAGGTCTCCTATGCACAAGCTACACCCAGTGTGGGACATAGTCCCCTTCTGATGCCTGTGGATGAAGATGTAGAACTCTCAGCTCTTTTTCGAGTACCATGTCTGCCTGCACACTGTCATGCTTCCCACCATGATGATAATAAGCTAAACCTCTGAAACTGTAAGCCAACCCCAATTAAATATAAGAGTTACCTTGTTCTTGGTGTCTTTTCACAACAATAAAACCCTAAGACAATCATATATTTTGGTCATATTTAACTCTGATGTTGTTGACTCCTCTCAGCTCTACTCAGACCATCCTTTCCATCCCAAAATTGGTCTTTTGCTTTGTTTTAAAAAAATAAAAACACTAAATCTAATTTGTGGTGCCTATATACTAAGGGAGGTGAGACCATGCACTGCAGTGTGTTGATTTCCTGTGTTACCCTACCAGGCTCCAACAACCCTTAAAGAAAATTGAGTCTCTCTCCACCAGAAGCCATAAACTATCAATAGCCCCTCAGCTAAGAGTGAGGGGTTTTTAAACCCCTAGCCCCTCTAAGATTTAAGCATTTTAAGTATGAGTTGTACACTTTATCCATTTTGTCTTTTCAAGTTTTTTATTAGCACATATTATACACAAAATGAGTTTCATTATGGCACTTTCATAAATGTATATATTTTGATCTTATTTAAAACACCTTGCTGGGAATAAGAGTACAGAACTTTTTAATAAGAGTAGTTTAATGATAAATACTCCATTTCTCTACTGGTTTAGGTGCATTTTAAATTATATTATGTTTTATTTTCATTTTTGGACTATTCCAAATGTCTTCTAAATTGTTTTGTTTTTTGAGCCCCTTATCGACACACACTTTGGTTTTTGTTGTTGTTAATTTGTTTTGTTTGAGACAGGGTTTCTCTGTGTAACCCTGGCTGTCCTGAAACTCAATTCTGTAGACCAGGCTGACCACTGCCTCTGAGTGCTGGGATTAAAATCATGTGCCACCACCGCCCAGCCCATACTTCATTTAAAAATGCATTAGTTAATTTCTAACCATGTGGGTCTTTCTATATGTCATCCTTTTTTTTTTATTTCCAACTGGTTGTAAGACAAATATTTTGCATAATTGAATTTCTTCAAAGTACTGCATATTTCTTATTTATTTCCTCAAATTACACATATTTTGCATTCAATATCTATCATATAACAACATATTAATAATAAATTCCACTTCTAGTCATCTAGGCAGAGTAAAATTGCTATCTTGAGACGATGCCTGCAGCCCTGTGTTCCTGTTAGCATTATGACAACAGCAATAAGGTGTGGAGCAGTTGGAGGAATGGCTCAGTGGTTAAGAGCACCTGCTGTTCTTTTAGAAGTCCCAGGTTTGGGTTTTGGTTTCCAGCACCTACATGGTGACTCACAACTGTGTGTAACTATTCCAGTTCCAAGGAACCTGATACCCTTTTCTGACCTCTATAGGCACCAGGCACATGCATGATGCATATTCATACATGCACTCATACACGATATATATATATAATATCTTTTAAAAACAAAATAAAAGGGGTTTTAATTTAGAAGAAGGAATACGGTCTGAAAATGGAGTCATGTGAGAATTCCAAGAAAATAACACAAAAGTCTTATGACCTCAGTTTCTTCAAAAGAGAGTATTGTCCCTGGAATGTGTTTTATGTTCCTACCAGGCAGGTAGCAAATAGGAAAGAGTTTGCTTCAGCTGTTGTGATCCATATGCCTCTATGGAAACCTATGTGTTTGCCATGTGTGGCTTGTCCTTGTGATCCAACACCTTACTTTTGTGACTCTTCTTAACCCACAGAATATAAATTGCCTGATGCTCTGAATAAAGTTGGCTATTGCACTAGTGCTTAGTCCCGCCTTCCCAGGTTCATGGCCAACTAAAGCAGTAAACAAAGGGGATGGGAGGGAGACAGGAGAGGATAATGAGGGTTTAAAAGGGTTTGTTTATTGTGGTGTTTTTTGAAACAGAGTCTCATTAAGTATCATTCCCGGCCAGCATGGAACTCGCTAGCAGACCACACTGACCTTCAACTCTTGGAGATCTACTTGCCTCTGTCTCTCTTATTTTTTTAAGATTTATTTTTATTTGTAAATTATGTGTTATTAGAGACTTCGGTGACGCTCAGAGATTAAGAGGGCTAGCTGCTCTTACAGAGGACCTGGGTTCAATTCCCAGCATATATAGGGCAGCTCACAACTGTCTAATTCCAATCCCAAATGATCCTAGTTTCTCTTCTGGCCTCCAAAGGCACTGAATGCATGTAAAGCACGAATATACATGCAAGCATATCCTCCATACACATAAAAACATGTTTTAAAATATATGTATCTGTGTAGGGGTATGTGTGCATGAGCTTAAAAGACCCTAAAAGGCTAGACTGTTTGAATTCCCCTGAAGCTGGAGTTACAGGCTGTTTTGAGATGCCTGATGTGGGTGATGGGAACCAAACCCAGGTCCTCTGAAAGAAAAGCCAATGTTCTTAACTGCTAAAGCTATCTCTCCAGTCCTGTACTTATGTTTGGTTCTTCCCCCCAGTGGGGGTGGTGATGAGTGGGACCAAGTCACAGCAATCCTTTTTTCCTTTTGCCCCACCCTCTGAAACGCCCAAATACTAGACATTTAACTCTCTTTACCACGACCACTTCATACTGCATCTACTTTATGGCTGGACACTATTTTTATTCATTCATATACTTAATGACACTAAGTTATCTCTATACCCTGCTGCCATCACAAAACTGAAATGAGCCTGGGGGTTCAGGTATCACCTTAAGATAGAAATTTTACTTTGGCTAGATAACTAGACCTTTGATTGCCATACCATAGTGGTTCTATTTTTAATATAATTTCTGAGTAATCTCCCTAATTAATTTCCATGTTTGTACCAATATACATTCCCACAAATAGACATGACTCTCTCTGCTCTAAACTTTGAGCAATTCTGTGTAGCAAAAGCTTTTCTTTCTGTTTGTTTTTAAAGACAGGGTCTCGCTCTGAAACCCACGCTAGCTAGAACTCACTATG